CGAGCATTTACATGTGATCGAAATCATTCGCTTGCGGTGAAACTAAGTGAATTTTCACAACAATTCCACGAATTTATTTTTTGTACCTTATTGTAATCACTACTGAGTAATAATCATCAAAAAAACAAGTAAGTTATTCACTTGTGTGAAACGCAATATGACCGGCCGAATTGTGATACTGTAACCGGGATCATTTGCTACTAAGAATACATTCGTTTTTGTTTTTACTTCTTTTAGAATATACTTTTCGTTATCAACAAAATTAGGAAAATAAATACATATTACATTAAAGGATGGCAGTCGTCAAGCCGCATCCTGTTTGATATGGGACTCATAGCGACATATACAACGCGTGTAAAATACATTGTTTATTTACAGGAAATTCGAACACTCGCTACGCAACTACCACCGCGCTTTAAATATACTGAGTATTCTTTTGTTATCATGTGATGTTTTTTTTTTTGATTGACTAATTTTCCCGATATCCAAATTAGAACATGGAAGGTACAGTCACTCTGCCAGAAGTCGAACATGCCAGTAGTCAAACGCAATCAACTGTGTGAGACGACTGTCTCTCAGTTGTGACCTATACCGGTGCGAATTAGTGACGTCTATAGTATACGATACCGTAATCTGCAAATGCATACAAATCTATTTGTAGATAATATTTATTGGGCAGTATATTATACAGTGTGAAATTTTGTTTGTGCACAAGTTTGTCTGTGTGTAAAAATCTGAAAGTGCGCTTAGAGTTGCAGCAAAGTTGCAATCGAATGTTGTGCATCTCATTAGCATATTATCCCTTCTGGTCTTTGTTTTCTGACAAAATTTCCCATTGTTACCAAAGTGAATGTTAATTTTGATTAAAGGCATGGCCTCGATTAGGAATATTACAGTAGTAAATTGATGCTTTTTTAGAGTGATATAAAACTAGGGTTAAATTTAGTAGATTTTATAAATATATATTTAGTTACTTTTTACAAGTGACTGTATGACTGTTTCTTTCATCAAAAATTGATTTGTACATTTTTCAGGGTGTAAGAAAGAGTGCTATAGGACAGCGTATAGTTGCTGCATTGCCGTATATAAGACAGGAAATTCCAATCATGATAGTATTTCGTGCATTGGGATTTGTCTCTGATAGAGATATCTTAGAACATATTATTTATGATTTTGATGATCCTGAAATGATGGAGATGGTATGTATCATTATTTTTGTTTAATATTTTTTATTTCCTATTTATTAAAATGACCTGGTAATACTAGTAACTTTCTGTTTGCCTCCAAAATTTGGCCACACTAGATGTATTGTTTGTAATTGCATGAATTTCTCTCCCAACTTGTCCTTTATAGTCAATTTAATCTGACTAACTTTGTTGCAGGTAAAACCATCGTTGGATGAAGCTTTTGTTATTCAAGAACAGAATGTTGCCTTAAATTTTATTGGTGCTCGTGGAGCCAGGCCTGGTGTTACCAAGGAAAGACGTATCAAATATGCCAGAGAAATCCTACAGAAAGAAATGCTGCCACATGTTGGTGTCAGTGACTTTTGTGAAACAAAGAAAGCTTACTTTTTAGGGTGAGTTGGGGTGTCCTTGTAGAATTTGTTTGATTGTACCTATTGTTTCTTTCAAGAAAACAATAGTGTGGAACAGCTTTGGATAATTTGTCTTGCATACAAAACTAATCTTGTTTATCTGAAAGGTCGTCACTGAGTACATAGAATAAGGCTTACAGACAAATATTTTTAATTATAATATATTTTACTACCTTACCTTATAATTGTACATATGCAATTATCCACTACTAATATTATTTTTGTAGATACATGGTACATAGGCTCTTATTGGCTGCTTTAGGACGGCGTGAATTAGATGACAGGGATCACTATGGCAACAAAAGGTTGGATTTAGCTGGACCGTTGCTAGCCTTCCTGTTTCGACATCTCTTCAAGAATCTTATGAAGGAAGTAAGAATATATGCACAGAAATTTATTGACAAGGGAAAGGTAGGTTTCTATCATTTCACATTGTTATAATATTATACCGTAAAAATGAAAAACAAATTATTTACAATTCTAGGTATGTTAACTTGGTATAAATGTTGTTGGACTATTTGATAGTTTGAATGTGATTTGATAGTTTTGTCAGAAAACTTGGTCAACCGGACATTCAGTTTGTAGTTCATGTATTCATGTTATATCTTTAAGTTTGTTATGCAGCACAAGTTCTGTAGTATGTTTATTAGTACAAGTTTATTTAGTGTGAATTTTTAATATGCAGGAAATGGTAGTGTACAAATTAATGAAGTCATGTGACAAAATCTCACTCACACTATGGTGTATGGTATTTGTACTCAGAGTTATTCAGTTCTCTTCTAATCAGTTATGCAAGGGGGCTTTGCACAGAATTTTCTTTGAATATTAAAAAGTTTTATGTATACAAGTTTAATATTTCTTGGTACATTGATCGATTTCACGCAATTATTAATTATATGTATTACTCATATACAGACTTCAAGATTTTATAAAATCCTATGCAACCTTAGCATACTGGTACCTGAGGTTTTAATTGCTGTGTGATATACATAACATCCTCTTAGCCGTTGTATGAATGGCTGCAGCTACATCTGATACTTTCCCAATATGGGCAAAGATGGACAGAAAGCCAATACCTGAATTTATTGTCATGTTATTTTAATAACACACTCACATTGCCATACTTTGTGTCTTTCATGTAGGATTTCAATTTAGAATTGGCCATCAAAACTAGAATTATCACCGATGGGTTGAAGTATTCCCTGGCTACTGGTAACTGGGGTGAGCAGAAGAAAGCTCATCAGGCTAGAGCAGGTGTCTCACAGGTGTGTATAATATTACTTACTAAAGTCTTAGTAAATCTGATCATAAATTGTATCTCAGTTTATTGATACCTCATTTTTACAAAATTTATAAATTGCTTCCTGAAAGCTTTGGCAGAAAGCCTGTATGAATGGTATATAACGCTGTAAACGTGCAATGTTTTAATGTCAGCTTTACGGTCAACGGAAATAAAAAAAAAGGTTCGGTGAATTTGTAGCCCAATGTTAATCAATCAGATAATTTAATTAAGATAATTTCCCATTATTATTCTATTCTAGGTGTTGAACAGACTGACATTTGCCTCTACATTGTCACATTTGCGTCGTCTGAACTCTCCCATTGGTCGAGATGGTAAACTTGCAAGGCCTCGTCAGCTTCATAACACCTTGTGGGGCATGATATGTCCAGCAGAAACACCTGAGGTGAATTTAATGCATTCCTAGCCATGCACATAAAATAACATATAACAGTGTTTGTAAGCACTGGTTGATAGTAAGCTGAAGATCAGTAACTTTCTAGTTGGGCTGGTGAAAATTAAAACTTGCATTTTCAGCTATGCGTCTGCATCTCGTGCCAACTTTAGCTGTAAATGACAATGAAAATCGTCAGCCTGATTCCTTTGAAAGATTTGCAAGTGGACCTCTGCAAGATTTGTAACCAGATAGC